GGCGACAGCCTAATGCTGCGCGAAGGATCACTTTCTTTCGTTACGATTCTCAACCCAAGATGTTACACTTCAATCTTTTATTACAAACGCGTGTACATGAAGCCATATATGGATGCACCATTATAGCAAGGACAGCAAAATGTTCGGCTCCCGTTTGTCTCTTCCCTGTGCCCAATCTGCAGGTGGGCGTTGGCCAGGCGAGGAGGCTGGATCACAAGTGCGGAGCGAATGTGGTTGAATATCATTGACGCGGACCGCAACTTCAACCGGCCAATCGCCGCCACCGTCAGGTAACCGCTGGCCAACAAAAGTGTCGTGTAACTTCGCGACAATTTCATTACAGCGAATTAGCGTGCTGCCCTGAGCCGCAAATCGCCGAAATGTTGCATTGCGAAAGCAGGCACCGCTTTCCGCACCGCATGTCGGCAAAGTTGACGCGCTCCCAGACCTCCAATGTCGTCGGATGTAAATTGCGTTTCGTGCTTCGAATCCTTCATCGAATTCATTCGTGCCTCATCCCATCCACTTCTCTCACGTCCACACAACTTCGATTTTCGTCAGCTCGAACAGTCTCCCCAGCGGACCAGGCAGACACATCCAGTATTGGTTTCCACAACTCCGCGACCCAGCAACTTTGTAGCGACAATCGTGCGTATATTAGCGGGAAAATGGCCAGCTCACGGTTCATTCCTCTCTTCGGCATGCTCTGCATCGTGCTATGCTTTACCACCGCTCACGCGCAAGCACAAGCGAAGCCCACCAAGGCGCAAATAAAAGCGGAGCTGCAGAACATGGCGAACGCCATCACCAAGAAGTACCCGCAATATTCTAAATACGCCAAGGACATCAACAAATACATCGGCATAGCACGTAAGGACTCTAAATAGTTACGTTTTTTTTTCTCCCATTACTACGGTTAGCCTCGTCTCATTCTCGTTCAACGCGCGAGCAGGAAGTGCCTCATTTGGAATCGTAAAAATGCTGCAGGATACCGGGTATACGTTTCTCTTCTTTTTGTAGCAGATCTGCGCATCTCGCCATCCATCAGCCATACTCTCTTTACTGCCCGCGTTCGGATAGTATTCGAATCCGCGCTTACTAGATTCTGTCTTCCCTCTCCCTCTCCCCCTTTCCCCCTTTCCCCCTCCCTCTCTTTCTATCTCCAGTGAACTCCAAGTACGATTTCACTGCTCTCAGCGACGCTACCCTCCTACTCCCCAGCGACACGGAGGCCCAGGCCCTCGCTAAAAAGGTTCCTGCTAACAACGCCAACATCCCGAAGATCTACAACATTACCGCGTACCACATCATTCGCAAGAAGTACACCGTTCCTGCGTTCGCGGCACTCAAGAAATCGCAGCCGCTGGGAACGCAGCTGAAGCAAGCGATATACAAGGTTTCGCCGCAGAATGGTAACACGGTTTCATTCGCCAAGGCTCCCAACGCGCCTCCTGCCGCGTGGACGACGATCAAGCTCGTGAGGCTGTACGCTGGACCGTACTTCATTGCCCACGGCGTGGATAAAGTTCTGATTCCCAACTACACCAAGGTGTAATTCTTCAGGTTACCTGAACGTGGCTCGGTCCTCAGTTGACAGTCAGTCATGCTGCTGGTTCAACCTCTGAACCAAGGCTGACTGGAGGTCAACTGAGCATCATGGCGTATACTCAAAGTGCTTTGTGATTCATGTTACTTTGTATAGCAATCAAGTCGTTGAATTACAGTATGTGGCATTTTCCTAGGTGTTCATTCATTGCCAAAGTTTGAGATACTGTCGTGCCGAACCAGAGGAGATATACCAAGTCACCAGCCACTAGAGCACATCTTCTAAGGCTTGCCCTCCCCACCACCAAAAGCCGAAGTTGTTAGACAAAGAATTCACGTAGTAGATAGCAGGTGAGAGTGGTACTGTGAGAATTGTGATCACGGGGTTTTGGCATCTGCTTTAGGGATTATGGATTCTTGCCCACGAGGGGAAAGAGTTCCTGTGGACAGTCTCTTGCTCTCCTTGGGACATTCTAGTGTTACAGTACCAACGACTGCCCATGTAAACATACATAAGTATTTTGTGAAGGTCAAAACATACCCACATCCACACGCATCTCCACCCTGCAACAATCACGGCACTACATTGAAGCCGTTGCACTGCTCTTTGCACCCCCAGATGCTTCTTACTTCACCGTTTTCACAACCTTCCCACAGAGCGCGAATTTGTTCCCTGCACGCCCTGCAACTGCGTATGATCCTACCCCCACCTGATCGATAATCGCGAGCGCGTTGGCCTCTGAGCTTTCGATCCGCTCATAATGTTATAGAAAGCTGTAACGCTTGGGGTGTGCGTTGTCCCTTGTGATGTTCAAAAAAGTGGACGACGCTGCAGGAGCTCCCTTGGAGCAGGAACTCCCAAAGCCAAAGCCGGGATTATCTCCTCCCTTGAGGTTCAAAGTAGAAATTCTAATGAAAACGTAGTACGACGATGCAGAGTACCTGCCAAAGCGGGCAAGAGGAGACACTCATTAGAGAGTATTGCAAGTTAGCGCACTACGTCGACGATTTTTTAGGCGCCTCATAGAGAGGGCATTGCAAGTTAAGCGCACTACATATAAACTCCCTTGTAGTTGATTCGGTGCTAGGACTTGAAGACTGAAGTACACACTGTGGTTGCTTGCGCGGACGTTTAAAAGTTATCTAAAACCATTCGCAACACTCACTAAGGTCATCATGACTTATCAGCACTTGTGTCAGTGCCGCCAGTGGCACAACTGAACTTGTGTCAGCACTTGTGTCAGTCCCGCCAAAGGGGACAGAGGCGTACTCACTGCCTTGAGAATAAATCTCCCCAAAGCTCGTGCGTCACCGACTAATTTCCCGTTGAGCCTGGTAGGACGCAGATTGGCCACATATTTTACTAGAGACGGGAGCGGGAGGGATTGGGAAGACGGAAAGGGTTGGCATCTAATATGATCATCATAAACGGGAATGCAAAGAATTGGGAAGGAGGGGTAAGTAAATGATATAGCACACACATTGGCATACACATCAGCACACACATCAGCAAACACATCAGCAAACACATCAGCAAACACATCAGCAAACACATCAGCACACGCAGATCAGCTACAGAAAACACCTCAACTGCAGCACACGCTTTAGCTGTAGCCAAAATTGTCCATTTACAAGCTCCACAGTTGCATCACAATAAAATCATGCGGATACTTTTCACGTATTATTGCTACTTTTCAGATACTACTACTACCTACCTCCAACCATAAACAAAAAAGCCTATTGAACCAAGGTTTTGAAGCTTTGCAATGTAGAGCAGGTCGAGTGTGCGTACACGAGCGCTTGGTCCACCTGTTAAGAAGCGGCCTCTAATACTAGTAGAAGAACGCTGGCACTTCAGGATTTGTCAAGGAGTCAAAGGATTGTACACTTACAAATTGTCTTTCCCTTATAGATATGGGGCCTGGCCTGAGCGGCAGACACGGCAGACGCGGCAGAAGCGGCAGACGCGGCAGAAGAGCCGGTGAGGTGAGGGAGGAGCGGCGGGAGCAATGATGTGGCCGATGCGCCGTAGGCAGTGCAGACCGCCGCACCTGCAGGCAGGCAGGCGGACGTTTTGACGCATTACGTGGGGCACGAATGTTCAACGTTCTGACGGATCCGCTTCTCTCATCCAATGAATACTGTAAACAGCAGCCTTGGCGAGATTGTATACAGCAGCCGCGGCGAAAGCCTCGAAGGGCTTACAGAGCAGCAGGCAGCAGATTAGAGACGACGCTGCGCGGCGATCCATGCTGCCAACGGTCTCAAATGCCCCGTCTGCTAGGGTTACTGCACAACTTCTGAACTACTGAAGTGCCGAGAGGAACCGCTGGGCTACGTTAAAACCACTGAAAGGTGCGGGCTCCGCGAGAATACCTCTTCAGACAGCATTGTATTCATCAGACCATCCGGGCCCTGATGGGTTCGAATCCACTAGGTCCCCCTCCTGGTGGAACGGCCTTTCCACCAGGGCCGCACGCGGATGCAAGCCCTGTCGCTGCCCACAGCTGGCCGCCGCACGCGAGCGGGGGTCCCCCGCCCGGCTGCAAGTCCCTAGTGAGATTCGGGCGGCGGAGTCAGCTGGCGTGGTGGTCCCGCGCCGAGCCCGGGCCACGCCAGCGCCACGCAGTGTGGTCCCCCCCCCGGCCCAGCCCTGGCTCGCGAAACCCTTCGCGAAACCCCTCGCTCTCCAATCCGGTGTCGAGGGCCGAACCCTCAGCGCGCCGAAACAAAACCCGCCAATCGGAGACGTTCCCGAGTGGTTTGTCCCTCGGAGAACCCTCGCGAGGCAATTCGCATGCGAATCCGAGCGTGCGAAGGGAAATTCGGGCTGGCCGAAACGGATCCGGCCAATGGGAGCAGGTTTCCGAGCGACGGGCGAATCGGCGACGACCCACGCGTGCGAAACGGTCCCGGTGGTGCCCGAAAAAGAGCCGGCCAATCGCCGTCGTTTTCGAGAGTCGGACAGCTCGCACGAGCCTCGCAGCCTTTCTGCGAAGCGGATGTGGAGTTGTAATTTTCGGTATCCTGTGGATGGACTGCTACGTGGCGGACGTGTGCTGCGCAAGCGTGCATGTTGCGGAACCTCTTTTCCCCTTGTCAAAATCGGAAGCGGCGCGGGTTGAGAGGCCCGCGCTGTTTGACCGCGAGTGCCCTTTCTTGATTCCCCCCGTGGCCCCCTCTTAGGTTCTCGGAAAGGGCAGTTGGTGCTCATTTTCGTTCTCCTCCTTCACAACCTGTTTTTCGTCGGTTCCACGAGAGCGGTCTTCATCGCCTAGTGCTAGTAGAGACTCTGACTGGCCGCGATCGCGCGTGGTCGCGTTCATCTTAGCTCCTGCTTCCTTAACGCGAGCATCGTTAGCGGACCGTTCTCCAAGATCCCCCGTGCCTGTAGTCGCGCGGTTGAGGTGGTACCAGTGATGAACCGCGAAATGAAGGCGCTTAGAGCTGGGTCGATGGCGGCCGCCTCATGTCCGGCCGTCATCTCTGTTGCGGGAGCCACGGTGGAACTCCCCCCCGAACAGTGGAAGCTGCTCGCTGATGACAAGCATCCGTTCACGGCCCGTCTGTTCGACTTTGTCGCAAGGTGAGATCCTTGCGTCCCAATCCCTGATTCCACAGTGCACGCGTTGTTGTTGGTCGCGTTCTTTAGGATGCTCGCAACATGTCCGCAGTATGTATAGTGGACTGTGTATGTCGCGTCGTTTTCCCGCGGTGCTTATAGGTCGCGCTGTTTGTGTCCGAGCTTTCCCACGCGGTGTTTTACCTCTTCCCGCACAGCGTGATTGTCCGGAGGTTTTTGGAGAAAGAGGTGCATGCGCACGTCAGGATCGTGACGAGCGATGTGGTCGCGGACATCGTCGCGGGTCGCGATGAGGCGGTCAAGGCCTTTGCCGGTGTGATGGAGTGCAGCATGGTTGCTTTCTGCATCTGGGCCGAGTGAGTGTCTATTTGGGAGTGATCACTGCTACGGGGTACGCACTCGATTGTGTGGTTTAACGCGGTCGTCAATGTAACGTGCAGGGACTTTTCTGACAAGAAGTGCTCGAACGCGAGCATGCTCATTATGCTTCACCCCGACCACCTGTCGACTGACCGGGACGAGAATTGGCACACGCGGTTCGTTCGTGTTGCTATTCCATCTGGTGGACGGGAACACGTCACCCGGCGATTGTGGAGTGAGTACAGCGTACAAGTGTATCATCATTACCATGATCATCTCCGCTACATGGCTCACGTCGCTAACCGTGCGTTCGCGTTGCTTTGTTTGTGCGTTTGGGCAGGTGGTTTCAGGGTCGCGTGGACGAGGAGTTTGCTAGCGGCTCCATTCAGTGCACCCGGTCCAGCCAGCTTAATGATCCCAAGCGGCTGTACGATATGGTAAGTCTGTGTTGTTTACGTGTTCTCGTTGGCCGCGAGTAGTGGCAACCGTGTTAACGAAACCGGGGTGCTGATTCCCAGGACGCTACGTTATTGAAGGGCTCGTGTGGCAACCTCGCTTGTCTGTTCGTGTTCGACAAGATACTTGCGCAGCTGGACGCGGTTGCTGCCAATGGAACCGGGCCGCAATTCTCGAGGCCTACCGCGAAGACTCTGAATGCACTGCGGCATGAGGCCCACCAAACCGCCGAAGAGCTCGCGTTCAACTTGAGCGTGGATTTGCCGCGACCCAAACACGGCGGTGAGGCTGATGGGGCTGAAACGGGGAACATGCAGAAAGTAACAACGGGTGCGCGGGTTGCTGACCATGGTGTTCTCGCTCTCACAGGTGCCGCAGGTGTATCGAGCCGCGGAGGTGCTCGCGGGGGGACGGTGGTCCACGCTGATGACGACGGGGCAGAGGATACCGCGACCAAGGGTGCACCCCGCGATGAGGCTGACCGCACTGCAGCGGGTGAGGGGGAGGAGTCGAGCGAGGAGGAGGCGGGGGCTCACGTGGTCGCGGCCGGGGCAGCCAACAGGCCCACCACGTCCGGCAAGAGCATCAGGCACCTCGCGCAGCACTTGGCACCCGGTGCTGGAAGCGCGGGACCGAGTGGTGAGGTCGCGGGCAAGAGTCCCGTGACTGGTGCCCGTGATCACAAATCCCTGTCCGCGTTGCCATCGCACAAGCTAGCAGCCGAGATCCTGCAGCTCGACTGCAGGCTTGCAGCGCAGGCGGAAGAGATCGCACGGCTGAAGAATCGTCAGGAGTCGGTGGCTGGTGGGGTGGCGGTCGTGGGCTCCGAGGAGATCGCGACCGCGCTTGCTCATGCGGTGAGGCTGTTGGAGAAGGAGGCGAAGGCGGTCGCGTTCGAAAGGGCGGCGCTGTGCGATACGCGCAACCAGGAGGCCTTGGTCCTGGGGCGCGTGGACGCGAGGTTGGGTCAGCTGCAGGGGGTGGTGGCAGACTCCCTCGAAACCGCTCAGAAGAAGTTGACCGACGAGGTTGCCCGGAAGATCGACAACATGTCGACCGCGTTGTCCGCGACAGCCGAGCGGGCAATCACAACCAGCGGGGTCACCAACGCGCTGCACACCCTCATCGCGCTCGTCGGAGGAAGCCCACCCGCGCGCACGGACAATGGTGAACCAGCCGCGACGGACACCGCCGAGCCCGGGGATGCTGAGCATGGAAACGGGCGGCGGGTGTGAAGGGCGAGAGTCAGCGGGGCCCGAAGAGGCAGAGGGGTCCACAGGCAGCGGCCGCGGTGCGCCACCCGAGCGTGCATGACATTCTCAAGAACAAGTGGGGCGCTGCATCGCGAGGAGCTGTACCGCCTGGTCAACCTGGGTCGAGCTCGCGCTCCATCCCACCTGGAGAAGCCGCACCCATTCCACCGGGTCCTGCCGGGGCAGCCGCGACAGTGACAACCGCTGTGGGTAAGGGCAAGGGTAAGGTGGAGGAGGGAGAGGTGCAGGCCGCTGCGGGTTCGCTGGCCGCGAGGCGTGAGGGGCAGTCCGCGGCGGCTGCTGCGGCGGATGGAAGGCAGACCGCTCTCGCATCCGCTCTTCCCGCGATCACCGCGGGACATCTGCACAGCGCGCTGGCATCTGCAGGTCCGAGCGCGGCCGCGGGCGAGGCCAAGACGGAAAAACGCAGGCGAGGCAAGAAGTTGCCCCCTCCACCAGTGTACACCATCGACGAGGACGATGCGGACAAAGAGCTCGAGAATCTCGCGAGCCGGTGGGTCGAGGAGGAGGGCGACGGAGGAGAGCAGGGTGTGGTGGACGCGGTCAAACTTCATAGCGGCGGGGAGAGCGCGGACGAGCAGGACGAAGACCCCGTGGTCGTGCCAAGTGGCCCAACGGGGGGACAGGGTGACACAGTCAGCAAGCGCAAAGGCTGTGGTATCCGCCATCCTCCCAGGGGCGGTCCTGGCTTGGTTTCTGAACCGCATCTGGGGGGGAAAAAGCGGTGGCTTGGACAAGGCGACCGCGACGACCTGCAGTACAAGACCGCAGTCGCGATGATGCCGTACGACCTGAAGGTGGATCCCGGGCTGCACCTCAGCTCTAGGCAGATGCGGGAGTGGGCCGCGGACCTGTCCGCTGCCGAGGGGCTACACACGGGCCTCCTCATCACCATGCATCACCGCAACCTCGTGGCCAGCAGGGAAAGGTGAGCGGTACCATACCACATTATCTAGCGCGTTCATACGGTCGTGTATGTTGGGGGTGCGGGGTTGGTTTATCGTGTTCTGGCCGCTACACCCACTGCGTGGCAGGTGGACCCGCATGTTCAAACACTACCGCGAGCTGACCCAGCCCGGGTCGACCACCACCAACGAGATTGCATGGGCCGCGGTGGTGGGCACGGAGGCTGCTGCAGAAGTGACGGAGCTCTACCGCGATGTGGATCCGAGGGATTACGCGGGAGCGATCGCGTGCGCGATCGCAATGGTGTGGGAGGTGACGCGCGGTTCAGCGGTCTCGACCGCGTCGGATTCTGGCAATTTGGCCGCGCGAGCGGTTAACTGCCAGAGGGATCGATGCCGTCTGTTCCCCGTTGTAACCGCGTACGTCATCAGGGCTATGCGGAGGCGCAATTCTCGCGAGGAGCAAGCTGGTGACGACGAGACGAAGGTAGTCGCGGATCCGAAGGTGGTCGCGGAGACGATTGCATCTGAAGTCGTGAACGACGTCGTCGCCAAGTCTCGCGACCTCAGGCACATTGAGATGGCTGCTCGCGAAACGGTGGACGTTATCATCACCTGGTGCGACTGCTCGGTTGCAGGGAAGGTCATGGAGGCCATTGGGCTTTACCTTGTCCTGCCCAAGGATCGTCCGAAGAAGCGGACTTGAGTGCGTGTAGTGTCGCGTCGCGTGTGCGCAGCCTGTCCACCCTGCTTGAGTTCTACTCGCGGTGGATTGTTGTTCATGTTGCGGACATGTGTGCATGTAGTATATAGTGTGTACGTGTGTGTGTGTGTGTGTGTGTGTGTGTGTGTGTGTGTATGTGTGTGTATTAGCGTGAGACCATAGTGTTGACATTTGGAACAATATGTGCTTGAACACAGAATCATGACTACCGCGGAGATTACCGCGGACGTGTACCGCGAACAAAAGCTCGTCAACATTCTTGGTCAGCAGCACGCACTTTTCGAACGCGATTCAACACACACATGTCGTACGTTGAACATTAAAGAACCATTGGTCAACGCTCATTCTACATTACACACACGACGCGAAGTGAACAGCCTGACAAACTATGTCCCGTGATCGCGATCTCAAGCACTAAGCTAGCGGAGGCATCTGGGCACAGTACTGAGGCCACGCGGCCGGGAACTCTTACGCGGGAAGAGAGGCATCGATGAAGCGGTCGCGTACAAGCATCCATTTCACCCGCAACTGCACCTCCGCCGGGGAACCCTTCTTCAGCTCGCTCAGGTTCAGGTCAACACTCTTCTTCTTCACCGCGATCCCTTCCGACACACCCGACATGCCCACAGCTTGAGACACGAGGTCGAGCTTGTCGAGCACGACCGCGATGTTGTCTCCCTGCTCCACCCTGCGGGAGATGAAGTCCATGACTCGCTTTACACGGTTTATCGCGTTCTGGCCGCCTCCCTCCTTCCCAATCAGCTCGGCCATTCGCGTAACTGCACCGCGGGGTTGGGCCAGGAGCGACTCTGGACTCTCGCCGACCAGCGCGTGTGTGGACCTGTACAGCTTCCATCCGTCCGACGGCTTGGTCGCGTTGACCCATGGTTTCATGATCGCGTCTCGAATTGTCTCTTCCCTGGTCGGCTGTGCTGGTTTCTTACGCGTCCCCTGGTCGGTGGGGGTTGCGGAATTGGTAGGCGCGGCCGCGGCTCCGGAAGTGTTTGCCGGACTCGGATCCGCGGTCGGCCCTGAGCTGCTCACGGTGAGACGCGACAGCTGGGCTTCCAGGTCATTCACGCGCTCGTCCTTCTCAGCCAGCCTCCGGTCGCGATCGTCCAGCAGCCCCTCCAGCTCTTTCACCCGTCTCTGGGTCGCGGCCAGCTCTACGCCCAGCCTTGTGTTGTCGGCTTGTGAACGTGTCAGGTACTCAGTGAGGCAGGCCACTTGGTTCTGCGCGTCCATCCTGGTACTGACCTCCTGCATACACAGAACGCGAACGCGGAAAATGTGATTTGTACGCATGGACATGACGACCGAACTAGTAACGCGAACAAACAGTACGCACCGCGGGCTGTGTCAGTGTAGGTGTGTTACGCTGTACTATGGCCAGCTGATTTGCCAAGGAGACATCTGCTGCCCACCGCGCAAATTCCTCTGTCTGGCAGAGCGGGTTGTTGACCACGTACGGGTGTCGCGGCTGGTGTATGTAATACATGGCCAGGTCTTGTGCGACCGCCATCCTAGCCTCGCCATCCAGCTCCTTCAGTATGTTTAGCCCCGCGGTGTCCTGCTTCTCCGGCTTCTTCTCTTTGACCATCTTGCTGTTGTAATCATGGCACTGTGCAACACAACAACGCGATAGATCGTTAGAGCGGAGCCTGAGGGTTATGTGGACTGATCGCGGTGTGTTGATACTACTATGCGCGGCCCACACATACCTGTTTCTGCCCTTTATCCGCGGCGGCCCAGGGGAAAATGTGCTTCCTCAGCAGCTTCTCCAGCGCCTCGCTCGGCGGTACAGCTGCGCGACCCAGGAAGTAGTCACCATCAACCCCTGTGAAGCCAGCCTTCAGGAGCACGGCCTCCCTCGGAATAGTTGTGAGGTAGTGCTTAGTCATCACGTCGATGAAGCGCCACCCCCCCAGTCTCGCCAGCTGATCGGAGGGCATTCCGTCCGCGGACGCGTGCTGCGCCCCCCCAGCCCTGGTCGCGTGAACCACACGCGAGCATGTGATTCCCGCGTCCCCCAGAATCTTCGCCGCCCAGTCGTGATGAGTTGTCGGCAGAATCTGCTTCTCGGTGCCCGCGCGAAGGGGGAAGAAGAGGTACTGGTCGTACCATGTTGAGGGTTCCGTGAAGTCGAGAGGGGGGGCTATGTCCCCGTAGAGGATGGGGACCAAGTCGTACACCCAGTGCAGCCATAGCAGCGTGGCTCCGACCGCGCACAGAGTCCAGTCTATGTGTCTCACTGCCGAGATGTAGTTGAGCGAGAAGTCCTTGTTTGTCTTGCCCGTCCTGCACGCGCAGACAAACGCGAACGCTTTCCGCACTGGATCCGTCTCGGATTTTGCGCCGAGCTTCCACATCATCATGTCTGGAAGCTGGAGGTTTCTGATCGTGCAGCCGCGGGCTAGTGTGTGATGACCGAGGACGGTCATCGTGCGGATGCAGAGGTCGCGATGCAGAGCCTGGGTGTACTGTTGCTTGGCTAGTGTGAAGCTGCTCAAGATTGCGGCCATGCTGGTCTTCCGCATCATCTTCTTGAACTCGTCCGGGTTGTACGTGTCCGCGGCCGTGCCCCGATGGCGATCCATGTGTTCCCTGCGCAACCAGTTGGACGAGAGTGAGTATGCAGGTGAACGCGGTTTAGTTGGACATACGCGGTCAATGCGTGTGTAAACTTACGAGATAAACGGCTTGTATTGGTCGCGTACTTGAACGCGGACCCAGATGCGACACTCCGCAAAGTCGCGCAACAAATTCAGCACGGGCTTCCTGAAGATGGCCCCGTCCAGCTTGATGAGCATGTTCAGAGCCTTGAGACGCCCCATCAGCATTGCAGGGGAGCACTGGCGTCTCTTCTTCAACGTCTTGTCGGGCCGCTTGAGCGTGGCCATCCTGTCCGCCTGTGCGACCGTCTCGTTCGCGAGGAAGGTCACGTATTTGCGTAACCTCCACGGATTCGTCTCAGGGCCGTGGAACCACTGCTCGTCGCCCTTGGCCATCTTCCAGTCACTACCCATGTTCTGCTCGAGCGCGGCCCCGATCTCGTCGGGGTTCGCGTTTTCCAACGCGGCCTCCTCACCGAACCTACTCACGTCCAGTTTTGGCAGCTCGTGCGCCATGAAGAGCTTGTACTCTCTTGCCCAACCGCGATATTTCTTCAGCGTGGCCTCCGAGACACCGTAGAGGATGCCCATGCACACCTCTCTTTTCGCGGCCGGCGTGTCGTCCACGCCAAGCCTGTTCCAGTCCGCGATGGGGACCTCCAAGTCCGTTCGCGTACCCCGCACCCGTTCGTTATCTTCCGCCTCCCCCTCGTTGAGCGCGGACAGCGAGTTCGACAGGTAGTTTTCGTCATCGTCATTCCAACTGTCGTCCTCATCGTCAGCGTCGTCCTCGTCATCCTCGTCGCTTTCCCCCTCGCTCACCTCCATCGATCCGTCGCGTGCCGTGGGAGGCACGACTTCGACTCGCCGCCTCCTTACACGCGATCTACTGACTGGCACGTTCCCGGTACCTCCGGTCGTGTTAACACCGGTACCTCTGTCTCCGTTGCCTACCACCCCAGGCGCTCTCCGCCCGTTCGCACTACCTCCGTTCCGTCCCACACCGGTCCCACGTCCCGCGCTCGCTCTCCCACCCCTTCCTCTCGCACCTCTCCCACTCTCACCTACCCCTCTTCCCGCGTTCCCACTCGCACCAGTCCCTCTTCCTCTTCCCGCGTTTCCCCTTGCACCAGTCCCTCTCGCTCTTCCCGCGTTTCCTCCTGCACGCGCTCCTCGTCCCGCGTTCCCCGCGTAAGCATGTGGTTGTTCACCTACACCGTTCTCGTCCGCTGCGGTCGGGTGCGCGGGGGTGCGGATGTGGACGTCCGGGTTTCCCGGCAACAGCGAGTTCACGTTCCATATTGGCGGCGAATGTGCACGCGCGCTTGCATCCATCCCCGCTCCAACATTCTCCCCACGCACTGAACCATCAGGAACCGCGACTGGGCCTTCTGCACGCGCATGGGTTTCCACGCCCATCACTAATAGTTCTATCCGGTCCCGCGGGGCTTGCACTGTTGCCTGGATTTCCGGATGATTCGTGCTGGGGAATGGGGTTGACGGCGCGACTGGAGGCGTCGCGACAGCCCCGGGCGCGTGCAGCATGGGGTCTGGCTGAACGCCTATGTACCTGTATCTGAATCCCACATTCCCATACTGCGGCCCTGTCAAACATTGCATGTTTATATTGTCTAGGCTGTAGTGGGTTACACCTTAGGGGGTACACAAAGTTAGGGTTTCCTACTTGTACCAAACTCTGTTCTAGTTCATTCATTCCTGCTCAGTTATTTCTGACATGGTTTCAGAGCAGGTCCTTCGCTAGGACTGTTCTTAGGGCCCACCGACTTACCTACCTGCTTACCTTCGCTTCTTTTCGGCCCCGATGGCCCCGTCGATCTAGCACGATCTAGCGGCCCTGCGGCCCCTTCGAATTTTTTTTTTTTAGCGGCCTCTCACGGCCCCCGTCGCGTCGCCCCTTAGCGCCCCGATCGGCCCCGTCACGCCGCCCGCGAACCGCACAGCGCGCCGCGCTCACAGCCCGCGAACCGCCCACGCACAGCCCGCGAACCGCCTGCGCAGCCCGCGACCAGCCCGCGCAGCCCGCGCACAGCCCGCGAACTGCCCGCGAGCAGCCCGCGCAGCCTGCGCTGAGCCTGCGCGGCTCGTGCGCTGACCGCCGCCGGCCCGCACGCTGCCCGCACTGCTCCCGGCCCGCCGCTGCCGAGCCCGCAGCCGCCCGCGCACCGCCTCTGCTGAGCCCGCAGCCGCCCGCGCACCGCCGCTGCTGCGCCCGCTGCCGCCCGCGCACCACCGCTGCTGAGCCCGCAGCCGCCCGCGCACCGCCTCTGCTGAGCCCGCCGCCGCCCGCGCACCGCCGCTGCTGCGCCCGCTGCCGCCCGCGCACCACCGCTGCTGAGCCCGCCGCCGCCC